TGAATATCTGCTTGCACATCCGTAAATGAGGCGATGGTACGGATTGTGCTTCTGGTACAGATCAGCAAGTAACAGTGACACTGCAATTGGATCTTGCTGCCGAAATATTGATATTTCTCATGTTCACTTCCGCCACTGCTATGTTGTTTTCTGGGTGAACAAACTTATTCATGTGCAATTTTAATTGTATTTGTTATTTAATAGATATACTTCAATTGCAAAACTCAATTGCATTTTCAAATTTAGCTTACATTTTGTATTGGATATGCAGCTTCCATATGCATTATTTTCTCCTGGGTTTTAACTAGCGGTACTGAGCACACTGCTTTCCTTTCAAAAGATTGTTTTTAGTAAGTTTGGTTCTGCTTTGTTAACTTTACATGAAAATGTCATAAGTTTATTGTTCCAAATAAACTAAATCTGGTTGTGCAGGCATGAGTAAATGTGGCTAAAATATGAGAAGCTTTTTGAGCTCTGGTGATTTTTGCTGCAAATGTCTTGAGTTTTGTATTAATGAAATTTCGTGCTATGATTATTATTGTCTTGGTTCTTATGCTCCAACAACACATTTTTGTTCTTTTCTCAGATTGTCTTTGCAAAATACTAATTTGTTCTGTGCAAATGCAGATGAAAGCATGAGCTGCAACGAGGCAGAAACACACTGCAGAGTATCTAAAGCAAGCAGTGAAAAGAAGTGGAAATGGAAAGTGGACCCACATCACTCTCTACTGATAAGCCACTTCATGTGGATGAGGACCATGTATTGTCATATATTTTATGTATGTGTATATATAATATTTATTAGGTTTATTTTTCTTTGTTGCATATATTATATGATTTGTCAATAGATATGTATTATAAAAATATTTATAAAAATATATATTTGGAGTAAAGTACTCAAGCAACAAGGGCTGTGTAATTTCATATATTTTTGTCTTTTTTTTTTTAACTAACAGTGTTACTTGTTTTCTTAATTGAATAATAAAAAAAAAAGATTAACAAAGTAAGTAAGAGCTGATTTAAGATAAGTTAAGATAGACTTTATTAATCTCACAGTGGAGAAATTCACATGTCACGTCAGCTCAATAGTCAAGAAGGTGCCATATATATATATATATATA